GGTGAGCGAAGACAAGCGCCGGAAATCTTCTATGCACAACCTCACCCCCATGAAGGCAGTTTCAGAAGGCGCAGAACGTGTGGTAAGGCTACTTAACGTGGGCTTTGAACATGTGTCTATTTGATTATGCAGTTTAACTATCGGCGCATACATGTGAGGTGCACGGAGTGTCGTGGGCGGACGCCCAGTTGTAGTTGTAGGGTTACGTCAGGTGCATCAATGCGTTTAGATAAACGGTACGCAGCAATAAAATGACGCATATACCCTGTCGCACGTAAAACACCGGTAATTACCATGCATAAATATGTAGCACAGGGAATGCCAAGTGGGTATGATCATGCAAGTACGACTAGGGCGAAAAGAAGCACTTAAGCGGGGCACTGAGAGTCTCTGCCAAACAGTCCCAAACAGTTTGTTTAAATGACCGATTATTTGCGCGCGATAATTAAATTGACTCAATGTTGCCCAATTCAACACAATTGTTGGCTCTATATGAACTAATTACCAAACTGACAAGACATGAATTGACATCTAGCGCCTAAAAACACCTTCAAGGGTCTACAGGGCCAGCGTTCACGGCCAACTGCTCGTGGATGACTGCGCGCTAAACATCACGACGTAAGACGGCATGCAACGGAGTGTAGGTTGTTCGCCTCCGGCTGCCCCAACTGCGATCTGATGACCAGCCCAATGAAGACAAGGGTTCCAAACTAACCGACACTAAGTGATGATTACATCAAACCCCGTATCGATGTCAGTGGAGCTCAACTCAAACCACTGAAAGTGCATTTTCAAGAGACATCGATGGCGAAACCGTGTGTCAAATTTTCAAAGCCAGCTAATCCTTCAGCTGCCTAAAGCACTCTGTCTGAAATTGTCGTGCAATCGTACTTAACACAAAATTGGGGATGGACACGGCTAGGAGCCGTGGGCTCAAGCACTCCCACCTCAGTTGTCTCCAAATTTTACTATAGGTGACTAGTAACGAAATTGTTACAGACAATGAGATACCGAAAAAAAACGGCTTCCTCAATATGTACGCCTTGCTGGATCCGATA